TGTTTCAATAATAATTGTTTTCCCTTCCACAAATAGTGTAGATCAAAAGCGGGCAAACAATAGATGGAAACTGGCAACTGTTTTGTCCAATATTTTATGTTATCGTTTTAATTTTGCTTTCCAAATTACCCACAGTCCATTTACAGTTTCAGTAGTGTATTTGTATCGTAAATATATAATATTGTTTAAAATATAGTTACAAAAACAGACAATTATTATATTTTTATTCAGACAGTCACCTTCTAACCGGTGTGAAGTTAGCAGTAACTTTTAGCAGTAAAAATAACCGAAAACACCCGATCGGGAAAACAGTGGCGTCCGGCATAAAACTATTTTAATAATCTTATCAATATGTATATTACACATTAATATTGACAAAAAATTAATATACGGTTGAAAATAACCCTTAAAATTGCCGATCACAATTTAATTTTACATTGAAAAAATAAATACACTAACATACGCTTTAGGTACACATTTCATTGGATCCATTGAACAGGGTACAATTAAACCATAAAATTTATAAAATAATTATCCTGTGAAGTGTATTAAACAGGGTGAATTTAAGCCTTAAACTTCAAAATAAATAATTAACCTATGAAGATGATTAGATCCCAACTTGGTTTGTAATTTAAAAAATCATAAATACACTCACCAAAGTACACTGTTAGCGAAAATCCCTTCCGACCCGTCAAACAGGGTGAAATTAACCCTTCAACATTAAAATAAATAATTACCCTATGAAGAAGATTAAATTTCAACTTGGTTTTAAATTTCAAAAATCATAAATAGACTCACCTAAGTACACTGTTAGCGAAAATTCCTTCCGAAACGTCAATCAGGGTGAAATTAACCCTTAAACTTCAAAATAAATAATTACCCTATGAAGACGATTAGATCCCAACTTGGTTTTAAATTTAAAAAATCATAAATACACTCACCAAAGTACGCTGTTAGCGAAAACCCCTTCCGATCCGTCAAACAGGGTGAAATTAACCCTTCAACATTAAAATAAATAATTACCCTATGAAGACGATTAGATCCCAACTTGGTTTTACATTAAAAAAAATATAAATATACTCATCAAACTACACTGTGAGTGAAAATCTCTTCCGATCCATCAAACAGGGTGAAATTAACCCTAACTTGTCATTTTTTATTGTTTGGTAATTGTGACAGATGTTGGTAACTTCTAAGTAATGTGTCACGTCAACATATGTCAAAGGACAGAACGAATAAAGATCACTCCAGAAAACTATCTTGTTTAATGGTTGACTGAACCTAAGCTCCTAGATCCTTCTATCTTATTATATTTTATAGTTATTATTAAAGATAAATAAAATAATTATAAAAACATTTTTAATTTGTCTTCTGACTTTTGTTTAATAGATTAAATTTTATCTTTATCTAAAATTATATCTCGCTCTTCTTTTTTTCATCTCCCACAATTCTGATAACACAAAGTAATCATTTCCGTATCAGATCCGTCTGTGTTAACACAAAATGGACATTACTTAATTATTTTATTAAAACAATGTGTGCCATAAAATGTCAAATATTAAATAATTATCTAGAAGCGAGCTGTCACACAATAATTTGTAACAGCGCATTATAGTCTTAGAGAAAGTACAGTGTTCAACTCTCAAGGAATAATTACTTATTACTCGTATGCTTTAGACAGCATAATAATGTTTTTGCTATTTATAAAATTAAAAATAGGGCAATGCATTTCAAAACATCACCAAAATAGTCTTGTAGGTAAATACGCAACTTTTTTCTAATTAACCATCTTTCGTATCTTGGTAAGTATTAAATAAACAGTCGCCAGTCTCTCCAGCAAAAATTAAAGAACATTGACTCTTGAAACAATTTATAGAATACAGGAATATCAAGGTCAAATATCGACTAGCAATACTCTGAATCATAGTGTATGTACATTCAGACAGTAAAAGAATGCTGAAAGCTGAAAGTAAAATATTTCAAATTACATCATACTACGTTGCCAAGTTTGTTTAAACCATTAAATCGGTTTTATTAATTTTTACAATAGCTACATTTTTTGACACAGGCCTATTTCATAAAACTACTTTTCACTCTACACTGCAATTTTTTGTGTTTTAAGTAAGTATATTCTATTAAAAAAAGGAAAAAAAAGTAAAGTAATAAGTGTCTTGATAGATTTTTGCAATCAATTATTATCTGCACGGAAAGAATAAACGAAACGGTATTGTTATGGAGTATCTAAAGGTAACAAGTGACACACGGTATAAATATAAAAGGTAATAGGTACATTATTATTTTATAAATTTTTCCAATAATTGCCTGCAATATCGTAAAAAATTAGCAAATCATTAGGCAAAATACATTATGGACCTTTAGATATACCTTTAGATATTAAGTGATGCATAACTCATATGAATGTATATCGGACAAGTGATGTTACTGCATGGATCGATATATTTACCTATAAATATTGTATTTTTGGTATAAAAACAAAATAACCAAAAAGGTGACATGTGTCGTTTCTCAAATGACCGATTCATTTGCTCTAAAATAAATGATTATTTTAAAAATAATTTTGGTTTTTAGAAAAAGCAGTGGCCTACCATTTTTTTCATAAAAATATTCTGTATGAACCCCGTACGGACATCACTGGTAAAAATTTAAAAAAATAGTTTACTTCAAAAATTCTTCTTAATAAGGGTCTATTTATACTCCCCTCAGACTAGATTACCTAGTCTAAGATACTCCCTTATTAGTATTTGTATTAGTATTATGATTAAGCATTAAACTGGACTAAATATTCAAAAAGGGTATTTATACTCGTTCTATATTTAGTATTAGTGCTTTTTTTTTAATAATCTTTTTCCTATTAAGATATAATTCTGCAGTCAACAAAATGTTGGTTACTGAGGAAATGTGTAAGAGGCCAGTGGTGTTCTTATAATATTTTTTAAGATATTTGAGTTTCAAACGAGTTTTTATTAACGTTTTTACAAGTTCATTTTATTTAAAACTATTATTATTCAAAAATAGGTTTAATTAAGGACATTTTAACGGATTTACGTCTCAAATTTATAGCAGATAAAAAGAAGTAAAAATGTGATACAAATCAGAGAGAAAAGATGCCTTCGCTTCCTCGTGATGACATGTCATTTGTCAACTTTATACTCGGTACACATACTTTGATTATTATACGGTGCAAGAGAGACGTCCGACACGCCCAACATAGGGCGCGGCCATTTTGATGCAATTACTACTAGGTTGGGCAATACATTTTTCCAAAATGTTAAACTGGTAGCCTACATCTTGGTATTTTGAGATTTTAAATGAAGGTAACAAATGTAGAAGAAACGTTTATTTATTTTAAATAATATACAAGAAACTTCTTAGAAGTAAAGATATAAAAGGCACTAAGAAAGCTGCGCAGTGCGACCATTTTCGTGACTCGGTACATACTGCTGCTACACAAAAATTGTATACAGTGCATGATTTGTACCAAAATATTATCGTTTTCGAGTTTGTTGGAACAAACCTATAAACAACATCTGACAACATAATCATATGTGTATTGTCAATTGTCATTATCCGTTGTCTATTAAAAACAAAGGCCAAACACGTCATTGATTCATTTGATAGAAAAGAAGAAATTTAAGATTTAACAAAAGTTGAACCTATCAATAGAGAATTATTGCAAGTTCACTTAAGGTCAGTCACTATTAGTGCCGCTCTTATTTTGACATCTGAGCATGCGCAGATCACTAACTTTAATAAAGATTGTGCCTGTCCTTAATAGAGAGATATTGCAAATATCTATAAAGCCAGCCACTAATAGTTCATCTTTTTTGTTGTCTATAATAGTACATAATATTGAAGAGGCATTAGAAATTATAATTTTAGAAGGTTTAAATGACGATTATATTAAATATTTAATATTAAAAAACTTCTAACGGATACGAATGTCGGCGAGCGCATCCGAAAGCTATAAAGTCGCCACTACCTGCTGCCCTTAAACATCCACAATTAAGGACAGGCACAATCCTTAATAAAGTCAGTTTTGGAACATAAACATCTGCGCATGCTTAGATGTCAAAATAAGAACGGCACTAATAGTGACAGACCTTAAGTGAACTTGCAGTAACTCTCTTATTAAGGACAGGCACAATTTTATTAAAGTTAGTGATCTGCGTATGCTCAAATGTCAAAATAAGAGCGGCACTAATAGTGACTGACCTTAAGTGAACTTGCAATAACTCTCTAATTATTAAGCATAAATATTAATGCTAATACCAGTAGCGTAACCAGTCATTTTTCATGGGAGGTGTTTTTGAGAACTATAGGGGGGTTTCATCAAGAAAGTGAATAAAAACAAACGAAAAATAGCGATTAGCGCCAATACATGGGGGGTTCTAACCCCCAAAATCCCCGCGGCTACACCACTGGCTAATGCTAATCATAAATCGAGTATAAATGTCCTCATTACATTGTGAAGATTCAACTTAATCCTTAATCATAATACTAATGCAAATACTAATAATAAGAGAGTATAAATAGACCCTAATTAAAAGGTTTTTACAAAATTTCATAAACATATCAGAAGTGATAAGAAAATTATGATAAAAAGGTATTTTTTTTGTAAAGCCGTAACACCCTGTAGCTCAAAAATTAAGAGGTTTATTACATATCTTTTTTCTTTTTAATATCACCCAAGCTTCCACACCCCTAAATATCGGCACTCGATTAAATCACCCTGTATGAATTTAATAATTTAATTCCAATTAACTGCATTTTTTCGTACATTCAGATTTCCATAAAGCACGTGGCAATGTATACCTACCATCTGTTCCGTTCAGTTAGAAAACTTTCAGCTGAAAGTCACGATCGGAATTCAGTATTTACACAAATATTCCTGACAGGAATGTGACTCTCGTCGCCAATGCGCAAGTCCCGCTCACTTTGATTGCTGTTTAAAACTCAGGTAAATCGCGGCATTCCATAACTAAGCAACGCGCTTGGCAGTTGGAACAGATTTTTTGAAACTTTCACTTGTATATTTTTTATTTATAATTCTATCTTCAATGAAACTTGAAGTTAAATTGTGATTTAGTTTAAAATTTGCAATTATAAATAATAAGTGCGTAACGCAACTTCCGTTTTTTGTGATCTTTTTTCATTAATTAGTTCTAAAAAATGGAAGTTGATTCGATTATTGAACAGTCAAACAAATTTAGTGAAAATATCGTGCAAAATATTTTAAATGAAACACAGGATGTGGAAATTAGAAGGTAATTTTTTTTATTAATAAAGAAAAAATTATTTAAGCATTTAATTGGTAACTAATAACATATAATATAAAATATTTCCCGCTATTTTCATAAACGTATAATTATACTAGTTTTTTTATACCAATTCAGATGAGATAAAATGTGTTTCAAACAAATTTTTAATATACTAGATTACTTACTATTTTACGTTGGTGTCAATCTACATGAATTACTTATGATCTCATGTCCTATAAGGCTATATTACTATTTCCCAGTGCAACTCTAGGAACAACATCCACGAATTGCGAATCCTACCTACCTAGGTACATATTATAATTATTATTGGCAAATATTGGGAGGACGCCCTTTTCTTAAAAATACACTTTTTTACAAAACTTACATATTAAGCTTTAAAATGGAGAGTACTTTTCAAATATACCACCGGAAACCCCATAAATTACCGTTTTTTTTCTATTAAATTTATATATTAAGGGCTTATGAGGATCATTAAGGGATCATTTATGTAAACTTATTCATTAGAATCATATCTGTCATGCTGTGTCATTACAAAAGCGCGGTGTTGTCAAGTGTCCAATTAAAATCATCGAAAGAAGAATATATAGAAGTACCTTATTTTTGACATTTCCAAACACTTTGAAAATCATTAATTATTCTATTAATTGTTTATTTCCAGTCACGCTTTATTTATCCACTTTGATTGAATTGTTGTAGTACATAATAATTAAATATTAATATTACATCATCTATAAAGTAATTGTTATCATTGAAACAACTATTTGGAAACTGAATATTTATTTGTCGTCTTTACGCTTTACAAGAAATATAAGAAAACGTTATAGTCCATGAACTATTGCTAATATATTAAGTATACATTTATAGTTCAGGTATTAATATAAAATAATATAATTAAATTGAAATACAATCATTACAGTAATAAACCATGTACTTTTCGAAAACTTTTAAATATCTTGGGCCTGTTTAGTGTAAACGAATTTAACGAATCTAATGCTATTAACTGTATAGGACGATATTTGTAATTTAAAAATATCTATTATAAACTTGGGCGAAAATATTTAATTATTTAATCAATGTCAGGAAAAACTAGAAATTAATTCAATAAACTATTTAATAACTTTAAATTGAAAGGAAAAATTAAGAACAAAATAAAATTATTTAGAAATAAGTATTAAATGATTAAAAACAATAAAACGTAAATAAAATAATAGTAAAATAAAATACTTACTTAATGCACGTATAAGATGGCGTACCTGAAATAAAAAAAAACAAGTATGATCAATTAAGTTTACCAAAAGTATAAAAGAAAGTTATAAAAAGGTGATATTCGTAAAAAAAATACTTATTATCCTTTTAATTAACAAGAAAATTATACTGATAACTCTTTGACAAAATATTAATTATAAAAAAAATATAATTGACACAACTTTAAATTTTCCATAATTGACAAAAAGATATATTATCAATTCTGTTGACACTGACCGCAATGCCAAACTATCGATCGATATATAAATTAAGTCATTACTAGCACACTGACCGCAATGTCACTAGCCCGCACCGACCATGGTACGACGACTCTGGAAAACTGACCACAGTAATCCTAAAATAAACGCATTCACTGACCGCAATGTACTACGCCAGAATAGACAATCTAACTCACTTTACTTTTGATTACACCTCGTAGAGAAAACCAAGGTAAATGGTCAAATAAGTTTTAATTATTTAATATAGCCCCGTTAATTTAGGATATAAGGTTTTCCCAATACTTGACAAAATATCTTTACGTCAGAATTGACAAATTAACTATAAAATGTTAATGAATAATAATTGGGTAATATAATTTGCAAAATAACTTGATTACAAATTAAAACTAATTGATAAAATATAATTACTCAGTGAGAAAAACTCACCCTGTTCAGCAAACAGCCACTTACAAAAATTATAATTATTCCCTAGTTTATTATTATTAGAACGAATTTTAATTTTGTCAGGGCCGGCTAGACATTTTGCATAGTTTTCCCTAGATATGTAGTTTTGATTTCTTCTTTATTGAAGTCTCTTCGAACGTGTTCCTCCATTTTTGGATCAAACTCAGCCAATAATTGAATTAACTTCAAAAAGTTTCCATTATTGTGTTCATACAGTTTATCGCTTGTTCCTCGAAAAGCTAGAGAGCTCTCACCTAGCATTTTAACGACTGATATAATGCGTAATAGAACTTCAGACCAGTGATTTATCTCAGAATCAATGAGTCTCTGAAAAACTGCATCTATTGTTTCACTTATTTTCAATCTTTGCTTCAATTCAAGCCATGATTTCAAACAATCTATGTGAGTTTTAGCATTTTCATGATGTGCTAAAGAGTCCCCTAAATGCTTCCAGTCTTTAAATCCTCGATTGCCAAGAGCGCTCAAGCTAGATGGTGCAGCAAAAAGTCAACATGGAAAAAGTACAAAAGCGTACAAAAGTACAAAGCGTTTTGAAATACGGAATATACCATCCATTCTCTTAAAACCTCTTCTCCATTTCTAAGCCTTTTCCTGTAACGTTTTGGAGAGAATCTTCTATGCTGATTATCAAAAGGAAAATCAAAATTATACAAAGGTGCAGCTAGACCACGTTTAACCAAAAAAACTCTATCTGCTGCATGCATGATTCTGCACAACTTGCGAATTTTGATTTTTGGAACTGCACGGAACAGCATGACTACTCGCCAAACTCGTTTGAGATGACTTACCCAGCTCAGTAATGCTGATGGTTGCGTCCAAAGGGCGGTCTATATCCGGAAAGTCAGTATCTAGGTGCTGGGCGTTGTTCAAATGTTGGTCGGTTGTGGGAGCTTTGAAACTACCTTCTTTCAAGAAGTCCTGCAGCGCATCCGACTGTTTTTGAAGTTGTTCGCTTGTTCAATCTCTGCTTTTTAAATTTGCGCCCAGAGGGGTTTCTCTTAGCATCGGACATTTTGATTTGTGGAACAAATTAATTAAAATAAAAGATAATACTGATATCAAAAAAAGTCATGATTTTATTTAAATTATAATTTCTGAAATCCCCCCTTGTGCGCCACTGGCTTAAAAAAATGTATTTTATTCAACTACAGACTCAATTACCTTTCAGTTGATACTACACAAGCCATTTTTTGATGTAAACTCTAATTTTTGAAATCTCCCCCTTGTGCGCCACTGGCTTAAAAAAATAAAATAAATTTTATTCAACTGCAGGTTCAATCAACTTTCATTTGTTGATACCACACAAGCCATTTTTTGATGTAAATTCTAATTTTTGAAATCCTCCCCTTGTGCGCCACTGGCTTAAAAAAATAAAATGCATTATTTTCAACTCCAAACTCAATTACCTTTCATTTGATACCACACAAGCCATGTTTTGATCAAAACTCTAATTTTTGAAATCTACCCCCAGCCTTTTTTGGGCCGCCCGGATCGCCCTACCCTGGGGCCGGCCTGTTATAGTGTAGGTACACACTTTGTTTAGATGACGTTGAAAAAACTTCAACATATTTTCGTTAGTCAACACATTTAACTTAAACCCATTCTAGCATTTCTAGAAATACTCGAAAGCAGTGCGTCACTCTTAATCGCGCTGAGTACAAACCATAGATATATAACCAAGACAAATAGGATTATTTACAAAATTTTTGAAGAATGAACGGTGGTGTCCGCGGTAGAAACTCAATAATCAGATTGAACATTAATGCCAAGTTTACGTGCTTTTAACTATAGATATATATAACCAATACAGATTACACAATTTCTGAAGTCAACGCGGATGATCCTCGACAGAACTGCAATATTTGGATAAAATTAAAATATTGATGCCAAGTTTGCGATGTTTTTAACTGTAGTAATGTTATTGCGTTTGCTTGAATTACTGTTAGGTCTTTAAATTGTCCAAAAAAAAATAATGTCTGACAACAGCGGAAGTTGAGTAGACAGCAATTGTGGAGGGTCGTATATTGTTTCATTCATAAAAATTCCTTCGATACAGTACTAGTCCAGGAGCCAGTAAATTTTTTCGTACTTGTTTTCCCGGTCCGTGTATATTTAAATAATCTATTCCCGGTGAACTGTATATTTAAAATGGAACGCCAATCTATTAACAAAAGTAAGCCAGATTGAATTCGCGCATTACGTCACATCGATACAAGTGAGATTGTTTACAAAGTGCCTCTGTAGGCCTATTTTGCCCATTTCATGTATTTGTTTTTAAATCATGTTAAATTACTATTTTTGAAACTCAACAAGGAGAAAATCCAATTAACTCTTCCGTTGTGTATATATATTTAAGATAAATTAACTGAAGTTTTATTGGTAAAGTATTAATACTAAAATTTTAATGTAATTTACAGAAAATAGCTAGGTAGTATTTGTTTTTAAATAATTTGATATTTTATGAAAAAAGGGAGTAAAAGTGGAATGACCAGTGGCCAGTAGGTCAGTCAATATAAAGTATCATATATTTCTATTATAATATAACTAAAATACCTACATCTTTTAATCATAAGGACATAAGTTAAAAACCATTTTAATATATGCATTAGAATGAAGTAATAATAACTTAAAGAGACGAGGTCTTAAAGTAATAGCTGGTACAGCATGTTTTTTAAACGTTTCCTCATTGCTGCTAGAATGAAATCACTATGCTCTAAAAACGGCATTTATAGCAGTCAGTGTTCAGTCTTAGGATCTCTTCCTAAAGCCCTCATCCAAGCTGCATACATATTAAAAAATAATTAAAAAAAAACATATTATATACCTATATAGTTTTCGGTTCTGGGTGCCCTAAAAGAGGACACTTAGCCGACAATTTGGCTCAGATAGCTAAAACCCAAAAGTCACACCCCGAACCAGGACGTATTGCTATCCTTTTAAGTAAAAAATAACTACAAATAACTTACCTGAAAAATGAAGGCGTCTAACTTTACACCAAAAAAACCTTACACTTTTTCCCATTGTTGAAAGCACCCG